CCTGGAGAGTTTACAAGGTCCTCCCTCAGTAGCTCTTCAGCTGCCATTGGTCAAAGAGAGTGCTGCGTCTGTGCTTTCCGATGCTTTATTATGCATGCTGTCGCACACTGCATATGGAGAGCAGAGGGAGTTGGATCTAATCTCAGTTCATTCTCCCCACAGGGAGCTGTCCCTGAACCCTGGTCGCACCTGTGGCCGCCTCATTTTGGCATGACCGATCTCCAGCTTGCTGATTGAATACTGGGCAAAAGAGCATGTTGATGAGATGTCTTGCTTGGATAACAAACAGATTCACGTGGAGGTCGCTCATTTCTCTGTCACAGCTATTAACATGTAACGTTCAATGCAGTATCTGCACTGCAGTGCAGTGGCTGGTCACAAATGTCCCAAAAATGGGTTGCAAATTTGTTTCGTAAAATAAATGTGGATTGTTATTACAGTGTATCAACATTACACTGCATTATTCAAATCTTCCACATCTATATTTAAACTGAAAGTAGCACTGAGAACCAAAGCCTTGCAAACCGATACCCGTGTTGTAACACAATATGACAGTAGGTGTGCAGATTTTGTATAGACCATTTTGCAAGATGTAAACTGGTCCAGAAGCACTTCCTGTTTCATTTTTTTAACACTACATAAAAGCTGGGGTAAAATACAACCAACAGAACATATAAATATGAATCAAAAAGTTAAACAAACATATTTACGGTGTTTTCTTTACATGTGAAATAAAGAAAACAGTTACAAACTGAATCAGGAAGTGTTTCTGGACCAGTGTTGTTTACATCTTGCAAAATGGTCTATAAAAAGCAACAATGAAGGGGAGATGACAGACTACCCTATAGAAAAGTCTCACAAAATCTGTGAAAATGGTAATATTTCAAATCAAAAACAAAAGTAACAGTGTAAGTATAAAGAATATACACATATTTGGTAAAAAAAAAAACATATAATATGTTGCTAACATGTTTTAATATGTGGTTAACATGTTTCTAGCAGTTTAGTATATTATTAGCATCTATCTAGCATGTTTTAGCACATATTTTAACATGTTACTGGCATCTTTATAACTTATTTAATGTGTTTCTAGCATGGTTTAACAATGATATCATCACATTGTAACATGTTGCTAACGTGTTATAGCACTTGATAATTATTTTAGCATGTTGCTAGCTTGTTTGTACCCCGTTTCAGCACACTGTCAAGCCAATGTAAACTGCAATGCAAAAAAAGAAATATTAATTCAAATGTAAAGTGTGTTAAATGAATGTAAACCAATATTTGGGTGAGTCAAACAAAATCTGTAAAAAATGCCCTGGTTTTAAAATGCTGTTAACATGTTCCTAGCATTTTAATGTGTCACAAGAAGCATCTTTCTAGCATGTTTTAACTTCCTGTAACTATTGCAGATTGAAACGTCGTGCTAGCGAAAGCCAATCTGAAGGGCAGATATGCTCTGAGGTGGCCATGAACGGAGGAGCATGACGGGGACAGGAAGCCAGGCACAGGAGCCACGCTAAGACAACAGCTTTCACCAAACAGAGAAAATGCTACATAGACACACTAGGGGTGTGAAAGAAGCTCGGATCACACATACACGCACAGACCTGTTCAGAATCTTAATTTAGACCCTCTCAAACTATCTCCGGCCAAAGCACTGAGGGTCATCAACACCCCATTGGTATTTTAATAAACAATGCAGCCAGGCATGCCGAGCCGAAAGAAAGGACGGGCAGGCTGGAGTCTGAACCTCAGGATGAAGAAGCCAAGCTGCTCTGAGTCACGACCACAACACCATACAGCGAACTGGGCACATGATCACTTAGTGATCGTGTGCATGCTGACAATTTAAAGTCAACATGAAATTACAGAAATTACTGAATTACAGAAATTAATACTTTTATTCTGAAGATTTCTGTTTTTTAAAAAAAATTGTTTTTTTTCTTCCTCAAAGAAATGTTTCTTGATCACTAAATCGGCGTATTAGAATGATTTCTGAAGGATCATGTGACCCTGAAGTCACAAATTAAACTTTGCCATTAGTATCGAAAAAATAAAATGTAGAATGGATTAAAATGGAAAAAAATGGTACTTTAAATAGTTATAATATTTCACAATATTACTGTTTATACTGTATTTCGAGCAAAATAATACAGCCTCAGTGAGCATAAAAATAAAAACCTTATCAACCCTAGAGTTTTGACCTGTAGTGTATTTGGTACAGTACGGAGCCCCTAAACGGACATGGTGGTGGGAAGAAATATAAGATGGGAGGAAAAATAATACGTCAACGCTTTTGTGTTCTTTTGCAAAATGTTTGCATTCTGCTGAGAAACTTTGCATTCGCTTGCGAAAAAAAAAAAAAAAGTTCCGTTACCTTGCAAAAACGTTTGTGTTCCCTCAAGAAAATGTTGCGTTTACAAACATTACGCCTTCACAAACGTTTTGCGAGCCAAGTCAAAAAAAAGAGTTTCTCGGAGGAGAAACTGAAAAGCTTGCTAGAGAACTCAAAAGCATTAACAAATAATTTTCCCTCACATCATATATTTTTTCTTTCACCGTGTCCCTTTAGGGGCAGTAGTGTATTTTTGGTGTTATTATTACAAATAAAATAAAGACAACTTTCACCATCTAATACATTTATGATGGATAAAATCAAGTCCTGTAATTTTTTCTTGTTCAATAATCCGTTTCACTTTGAAACATTTCAATTAAAGTAAATGAGTAAAATAAAAGTAATGGGTTGCGAATGGCATTTCATGTTCATTTCACTATAAATACACACTACAGTTGGGTTTAAAGAACAACAATTAAGTTGAGTATTCAGTGGACACCAGTATTCACAACTAAGATAACTTCATAGGAGCAGACTTCGACAGGTTATCAAGAACATCCTCCGCACAACACAAATGAGAAGTTTTCTATCAAATCCACAGTGTCACTGCCACTTGTGTGACTTTCTTCCCATTATCACAGTCCACCATGCATGAAATAGTTTCTTCTGTGCCCAGTTGTGAACAAATAAGCATAGTATAGTATTCAGGCCATGCTGCATCCAATCAAGTTTTTCAGCTAAACGCTCAGCAATTTAGAGTTTTGATTTTAAAATTTGTATGCAAATAGGAGGGGAGATTTGGGTAAACACCAATCTGAGGCCAAGGTTTAGGCTTGAATCAAGGGCACATTTAGTGGTAGTGTAATGTAACACAACAGATGCTTATTATTAGTTGAAATAAACAAAAGGATTGAAGTTGTCATATTAATAATGGCCAGGTTGTCCAGTTCTGAATGAAATGAACCCACATGGAAAGCATAAGAACGCTACTGTAAGCATTGAAATATTAGGGCCTGGACAATATAGACCATTTTGCAAGATGTAAACAACACTGGTCCAGAAGCACTTCCTGTTTCAGTTTTTTTAACACTACATAAAAGCTGGGATAACAGTTACAAACTGAAACAGGAAGTGCTTCTGGAACAGTGTTGTTTACATCTAGCAAAATGGTCTATATCAATGCATTGCGATCCATTGATCGATTCCAATTTTATCCGAGAGTATCGCAAAACGATTCTGAGCTTAGTTTTTTAACAGCAGATGGCACGCTTGTTTTTAACCGCACACTCAAATGCTCACGAAGAAGAGCGATCGTGTGTTGGGGTCCAAGGGGGTAATCCATCAGCCGGAAACTGAAGCCTCGCAGGAGCTGCCATTGTAGCAGAACTTCACCTGCTGTTAGCATTCCATTGACTTCCATTCATTTTGGCGTCACTTTGACAGCGAATAACTTTACATCTGAGGCTAACTATTGCGTCATAACCACGCAACTTTCTGTCGCAGAATGGAGACATTACCGTATAAACAGGAGGAGAAGCTCACAGGCAATCTTTTACTGTCTATGAGGCAATCGGGGGGACATGGAGGCATAAAGTCAAGGGAGAAGCCCATAGATAGAGAGTCCATAAAAGCAACGGGACAAAATATTTCAACAACATTTTTGAGGAATTAGATTTGTCTTGGCACAGCTACTACAAGATTTACAACTGTCAGACTGTCGTCAAGCTCAGTTTGAGCTTGCACATACGCTCAGACATCAGGCAGGAAGTGCAATAATCGGGCTTCAGTCTTCTCCGTTGAAATCAATGGGGTCGCTGTGTCCATTTCTTTAACTGAGTCTGAGAATGTACTTGCATCTCAGAATGCTTTTATTACTCAAGATTCGAACTTAATGCATGATTATTACAGGGGTTGGACAAAAAAACTGAAACACCTGGTTTTACTACACAATAATTTGTTAGAATGGTGAGGGCCTCATTTTGCATCCAAATACAGCACCAATTGACAGATAGAAGTCCTTCACAGTGACCAGAGGGATTATGAGCCGTTCCTCTTCCAGAACAGTGTCCAGGTCACTATATGATGCTGGTGGACTCGCTCCTCCAAAACACCTCAATAATATTCAGATCTGGTGACCGTCAGACCATGGGAGATGTTCAACGTCACTTTCATCTTCATCAAACCCTTCTGTCACAAGTCTTGTTGTGTGTGTTGGTGCATGATCATGCTGATACACGGTTTGAGCATCAGGTGCTCATGATCCTCCAGAAGGGTTTGGTAGTCCTCGGCAGTGTCGTGTCCATCAAATACAATCAGGATTGTCATGATCTTGGAGCTCAAACCATCACTGATCCACCCGTGCTTCACTCTGAAGATTGGCCGCCAGGCATATAGATGTGAAACCTCCAACATTGGCCAGTGTTTCAGTTTCATTGTCCAACCCCTGTATATAGAAGGTTCAAGTGGTGTGTATAGGAAGCCAGCAGATTATGGCTGCTTCTAGAGCACGCAGTGCCATCTGCTGTGAAAAACTAAGCTCAGAACCGATCAAAATTACTTCTCGATTCATGATGCTTCGATTTATTGTCCCAGCCCTATGAAATATGCTGGTCTGTCTGAAACTATGTCGTCTGAAATATTGGGAGAGGAAGTGCCGACCTACCTTCAGGTCTGTACTGAGCTACGATGGTGACAGTCTGTCCAGCATTCTTCAGTGCTGCAGCCGCCTGTTCATGCGTTGCACTGCGGAGGTCCACCCCATTTACCTGCAACAGGTAATAAAAATAACCTCTGATGCCAAACACAGCCAGTGGGGTCCAATAAATGCTAATTTAGAATTTAAAATCTACTGTAAACCTGGAAAACTATTGCTGTAAAGTTTATGGAGCTTGAGTGCTACACCAAAGACATTCTGCAATTCACTTTTTCAAATCAATTTTTCGCTGAAATGGTAAAAAATAAAAATAAAATTATAATAGTGATGTTCTTACAGAAATGATACGGTCTCCTTTCCTCAATTCTCCACACAGGTCTGCAGGCCCTCCTGCTAATATGAAGGAGATGAAGATTCCCTCTCCATCTTCTCCTCCTACAATGTTGAAGCCCAGTCCTGTGGTCCCCCTATGCAGGACTATTTTCCTGGGCTCCCTAAAAAAACAAAAAACAGGATTTATTAGTTGATCTGAGTGACAGGTTCAGGAAAGCATGCTTAAATAAATATGACAATGCTTACAAAACTGACACACATACACATTCGCAAACGAGAGAAAATAATCTATTAAAAAAATTCTGTAATTGAAATAAATCTGAAATAAAACAAACAATTATTTATATACATGTTTAAATGTATTTAACAGCAAAATCTTACATTAATTATTTGCCATCCCAGAAATTTTTTTTTAAAAAAATTAAATTTGACCAGATACCCCTCTAGTGTACAAAATATGAACTACACAAGAGATATGAATGCTCTTACAATTTGCAAAGGTGCCAGGCTTGTGCACAATTCAGAACTGAATTGAGAATGACTAAATTCCAATTCAATTCTAGAATTTGAACTGATGTCAAAAACAGGATCTAGAATTTGAATTCAATTCGAATTTAAGGAAGCAGAATTACAATTCAATAAAAATTCTAAGAAATTAATATAGATATTTTAAGTGAAGTGTTTAACAATCTAGCTTAACAATATATGTCAAATATGATTGCATTACTTATTATATAAATTGTATTAGTTTGAACTACCAGCAATGTTTTCCCCCCAATGAATGTTAAAACCTCTAGTCACAGAACAAATAAGTTTGATTCATTGTAATTGTAACGCCACTTCCCAGAATTAAAAGGAAATTGCTTTACATTGATAAAGTAATCCAGATAAATTAATCTTAACCACATGTTTAATGGGTCACTTATAACAGTGAGCAATTACATTTCTAAAGTAACCTTCCTAACCCTGAATGTAGGGGAGTGCGGTCAAAAGTGCGGTCAAATTTTACAATGCACCCCACCGATGGGACATGTTGTCACATTTAATATAAAATTATACATTGTATTAATAAAAAAAAAACACATAATTGTACTAAACATATGGGAAATTAATGTGGGAAAAAAATAAACACTCAATAAATACATTTGCACAAACTGAGAAAGTCAAAAAGCGTTACGTTGTGCCCCGCTCTCCCCTATGTGAGATTCAACACATTCTTTCTGTTGTGTGACTGTGTGGAATTTCTTTGAATTGCCATGAATTTAATTCCACTTCCTGTCATTCCAATTCAAATTCAACTTCCTCGGGGGCAGAGTCAATTCAATTCAATTCAAATTCCAATTCATGAATTGAATGGAGGCCAATTCTGAAATTCCGAATTTTGCACAAGCCTGAAAGGTGCATCGCATTTTTAACTTTATCTGCAGTTCAAATTGCATGTAAATGTGAATGTGTGCAATTATTTATATTTAAAACTATAATTACACCATTTGTATGACGATTTCCTGAAAAGTGTAAACACTGCGGTGCTTTCAAAATATTTGATCATCCAGAACAGCCAAACAGGGAGCCTGACATAAGTGTTCAGCAGTATTTTTGGTGCCAGTGCTGAAGAAATGACTCAAATATTAGTTTGCCAAGGACAGCATATTTGTGAAGCATGCATCTAGTAGTCTGTAGATGGCAGCACAGCCTCAAATTAGTACTGGCTCGGTAGCATTCGCACATTTTCAAAACAAACCCTCACTCAACATGGCTACAGGCGTGTCTTTTAACTCTTAAAACTCTAAGAACAACGATTCAGTAGAGCAACTGAGTGACATTGACAAATCTCAGTTATAAAACAAGTGTATTTTTATACCCATCATGTAGAATTAGGTCTTAATTCAAAGCTTATCAGATTTGCCAAAGATGACTTCACAGATTGGTTGGTCATATCATGACGGCAGCTTATGACGTAAAAGGCTGTTTGTTTTTAACATCAATATGACGTATTTGGCGAATTCTTCCAATGGGAAATAAATCCCCATGATTAAAAGGGGATTAAAAATGGTGAAGCACACCAGTCAGTATGTGTGTGTGTTCTTGATAAGTATCTACTGTTCTCTACTGGATAAAATATATGGTGGTCTGGCCAAGATCATCTGCACAGTCTCTCTCTCTCGTAATACCACTCGCGAGTCACTACTGACAACAACTCTTATGAAATGAGCAAACACATCAGGTGAATGAGAAAGAACAGGACACAGCAAAGAGGCTTTATCCTAAATTAAGTGATATCTTCAACAGCTCTCAAGAGGACATTTAAAACGGAGTGATCTGCGATATGTCCCCATACATGTGTCCTTGTGAATGCCCTACACCAGCGCTTCTCAACAGGACTTAAAAAATGGTTGAAGATAAGAGAAACTGAATTAAAATAAGTTAAAAACAATTATAAAATTTAAATATATTTCTTATTTTACTTCACCTTAACAACTTTTTTTATTTTTTACTTTGAACACTGTCTGGAAATATTTGGTAGTCTACATTTAAAAATATGATTTCTAGACCTGCAAAATGAATAAAATTGTATTACTCTACGACTATTTTTGTAATGGACATACATATTATGGGTATTATATAGTCTGTTTTATAGAATATAAAGCCATGAACCATTATGCAGAGATAAATATGTACTAAAAATGCCATTAACCTTAGGCGGCTTATCTTATGTGTAGAGAAAAGCTATTCTCATACAGTATTTATCTACACCAGAATTATGGAGCTGTCTTTACACCAAGCTATATGTAATGAAACTTATATATCATCATCTTCCAAATTTCAGGAGGGTGAGACAGAGAAAAGAAGCAACAGAAAGCAAAACAGCCTAAAATGTGATGAGAGTGAGAAAAAATTAGAGCGAGTGAAATCAAAGGATGAGACTATATAGAAATAGTTTAAGAGCAAGTCATGATCTGTATTAACTTTCACTTGAAATAAACGATCATTTCACTTCACAAGGGCAAGGAATCATAATACACAGACGACCTCTAAACCCAAAGCCATCAAATGTTACAGTACAGCAAAAGTCGTGATTAGGAAGACAAAGAAATTGGGAGGGCCAAGGCTCACCTTGTGATCTCATCATCTCCCAGCATGCCTTTTGAGATAGGAGAGTACCGAGATGGGGTAGCGGGGGTTAATGGCTGACTTAGATAGCTTTGGGTGCTGATATGGTTCTCCATGTGCTGGGAATAGGCTGAAAATCCAAAACACAAAGATATAATGTTATTGACGTAATGATGAAAACTTATTTGACAATGTTCTAAGAGGCCATATGTATTATTTGAAATTGCTGAAAACATTTGGTGTGTAAAAATATTCCTAGCAAGGATGTTCAAATCATATTTGATCACTCTTTTTGTGCTTTAAGCACAAACTAACATCTTTCCTAGTACATTACCTCTCTTACAAACACTGTTGGTCACAAGTTTAGAGTAAAATCTTTTTAATGTATTTTTTTTAAGTCTCTAATGCTTACCAGGGCTGCATTTATTTGATTAAAAATACAGTACAAACAGTGCTATTGTGAAATAAAATGTTTATATGCTTTTAAAATGTAATTCATTCCTGAGTTGGAAATGGGAACTGTCTTCAGTGTCACATGATCCTTTAGAAATTATTCTAACATGCTGATTTGGTGTTAAAAAAAAAAAACTAGTATTATTGTCAATGTTGAAAACATTTTTCAGGATTTTCTAAAGAAGAGAAAGTTCCACATCACATTAAGCTCCAAAAAAGACCAAAAGAACCCATAAAAGCAGTACATGTTACTAGTGAGCTGTATTCAAACTTTTGAAAACATACTGTACAATAGCTTTGTACAGTACAATAAGTAAATTTGTTAAATGTACATATTCTGGTAGGCCATTTGGTTATGACACGATTCCGTTTGGCATAAATGTTAATACACCTTGAGAAAATGCACCATTAAAGAGAGAAACGTTACACGTTAACACGTTACATGTAGTTACTACAGTAATAACTATAAATCCTGCATAATTACATGGAACTAACCCTACAACAAACATAATCTTAACCCTAAACCTGTATAAGTAAACATAATTAATTAATATTACTCGGTACTTAAATGTATAATTACACTGTAACAAGCACACCTTAAAATAAAGTGTAACCAACTATTCTTGTATGAAAAAGCAAAGATTCTTCAAAAATCCATTGTTTGTTTCTTTTCACATAAAACAAAATAACAGTAAAACGTTTTTTATTTTTATGTCCTTATTACAGTACGCTACATGTATTCACTGCGGTAAAAATAGCTAAAAGCAACTGACACTAAACCAAACCCTTAATATTACTCATTACTTACAGTAGTTCTGTAATTAAACTGTAAGGGGGACACATTAAAATAAAATTATCGAAATAACAACATGGACACTTTAGTGGCTTAAATATTGGACTGACTACAGAATGCTGCTAGCAAGGTCTTAAGTTTGATTTCCAATGAATCCATAAACCGATACATGTCTATCTTAGTGCAATTATATAGGAAAGAAGCATCTGCCAAATGCATAAATGTAAATGAAAGGACATGGGGGGGCCGAAATTTCATTTTGTGCAAACAAAATAATTTTAAGTCTCCACAATTGATGTCCCTACTATAAAAGATGTGTCCTTATTTCACTGTGTCAGATGTAAAGTGTAATAAAGTCAAGGGTACTCACTGGGCAATTACTGACTGCCGACATCGACAACCCATTTATTTAATTCTCATCAAACAGTTCCTCACATGTCAAAGCCCTACGCAATGCTTGACTGGATGACAGATATAATAAAATGAGATCACTAATAAAATTGTTCTGTTTACGCCTTCAGAGAAAAAAAGATATCACATCGTGAGCACTCGCATGACTCGTATGTTGACATGTGCAGATATCCTTACATGGCTTCAAAACTCCCTCTGCAACACTTGCACACACACACACACACACACACGCACTGATTTCTACATATACTGATGCTGGATTTGCCGGATAGGGGAGCTGGCCACGTGATGCACTTCATGATTAAATGTGCTTTTGCCCTTCATGCCTTTAAGCCCTAATGACAGCTTCCTTTCTCAGGATCTAATGCTGGGGGATATGGCCTGCCACTGGAACATCACCAAGGTGCTACATTATCGACTGTCATCACTCAGCACTTTGCACAGTCAATTTTAGTGGCCGTCCTCATGAGTTGCTGCCCCGTCAGTAGAAAGTGCTGTCTATAGCGGATTTGAGGTGGGATTTAAGCCATTAGTGAGCATGGGACACCAATAAAAGACCACAGAACTGAGGCAAGTTTGTTTACTCTCTGAACATACTGATAACATCCCCATGCATTTACTTGTCATCCTACGTAGGTATTAGACTTTGTCTAAAAAAAAAAAAAAGCGACAAGAATACATTATGTTTAAAGGGATACTCCACTTTTTTTTGGAAATAGGCTCATTTTACCACTCCCCCAGAGTTAAACAGTTGGGTTTTACCGTTTTCGAATCCATTCAGCCGATTTTCTGATATTTAGAAGATTATCAGTAACCAGACAGTTTCTGGTCTCATTGACTCCCATAGTATATTTTTTTTCCTACTATGGAAGTCAATGAGACCAGAAACTGTCTGGTTACTGAAATTCTTCTAAATATCAGAAAATCAGCTGAATGGGTTCAAAAACGGTAAAACACAACTGTTTAACTCTGGGGGAGTGGTAAAATGAGCCTATTTCCAAAAAAAGTGGAGTATTCCTTTAAGGATAAGCTTACTTACAGCTGGTGACATCGGGAGGAACGTAACTATCATTCATAAAGACACTAGTAGGTTTCGCCACTTTTAAATAGACGACATCAGGGGTGTTTTTCAAGGCAGTCACGGCATCTTCATGAGTGACGTCTTCAAGGCAAGCAGCATTCACCTGTAAAAAATGAATGCATCAGATGCAACACACGTGCTATACATGTGTGGGATCAGTAAGATGTTTTAATGTTTTTGAAATTGGTCTGTATGCTCATCAATGCTGCATTTATGTGATGAAATATACAGTAAAAACTGTCATTTTGTGAAATATTTTTACAAATATAATGGCGGTTTTCTGTTTCCTGTGATGGCAAAGCTGAATTTTCAGCATCATAACTCATAACTCCAGTCTTCAGAGTCACATGATCCTTCAGAAATCATTCTATGTTGTCACAAATGTAAGTTGTGATTCGTTAACAATGATTAGTGTGTCAGATGCAATTGTTCCTCTAAGGCTAATTTTTCTAAACAAACAAAATGTAATGGAATATTTAGGACTAAAAGTCAATCGCTGGAGCGCTAAATTAATAGGTTGTGCATCTCATTAAATAAAGTGAAAAATGTATTTAAAATTAAATAAATAAATACTCGTCTAATGTCGTTTACTAAATTCAGTAAATAGAGAAGTTGTTACTTACAGCCAGAAGTTTATCCCCAATCTGCAGCCTTCCATCTTTGTGGGCAGCACCTCCCTCAATGATTTTGGTGATATAAATACTGTTGTCCCCAGGAATATGTTGGTTCCCAACTCCTCCAGCTATACTGAAACCTAGACCTGTCAACAGAGGTCAGAGTAAACCATTTGCTGAACAATGTCCTAATGTGACATAGCAGGCTTTTATTTTGTAATAGTTACAGGCATATTGATACTGACGTTGAGTATCGAAAGTATCGATACTCAAAATTAGTATTTTTTTACCAGTTATTTTTTTATTTGACAAGAAATTGAATGCGTACAATATGCATTGAATTGGATGAAAAACAAATGTTAGAGAATAATTGTGTAGTAGAACTATTTTCCTGCTCATCTGAACACACACAAATGGAGCAAGACAGAACTAATCAAATCACAGAGTGTTTACACACTGCCGGCATTCAAACATAGGTGCATTTCCCAAAAATATAATAAGAAACCATTTATGCTTTTGGGAAATGCAGCCCAAAACAATGCTTAACAGAAGACAGAAAAACATATGTTTGAGCTATTTTACACAATAAACTAATTGAAATTGTAGCTCACATAGTCTGTGCAGTCACATTGTTTTAAATTGAATGTTAAAAAGTTCATACTGATGTTCTATTCTGTAACTACTTTTAATATAAAACATAATTAATAATAATAATTTATGAAACTAACTTTCCCTTATGAAAATGAACATTACAGTGACCATAGTTCAACTAGGCCTATAATATTTTGTAGATTTCCGTGGTTACCACTACAAGTAAAAAATTTAACCATGTGTAAACAAAAAAAAATATTATTATAAGTTCTAATTAAGGCGTATTGAATTTTAAAATACCTTTCAAATAGAAATATTAAGTGGGTATCATTACCCCTTTTACTCTTAGTAATTCAATAACTGAAGACATTTTTTAATTTAAAAGTTCAGTTTTGAGGTATCGTATCAGTATCGGCGATACTGGCCTTGAAAGTATCAGTATCGCCCATCGCTATTTTGTAATCTTTAGATGAGAAATGGCTTTACCTTTAGGACCTTTTACCAGCTTTACATCCATAACTTTTTCTGAGACGGCTTTTCTTCTTCTTACGTACAGTCTGACAATGCAGCCTGCTTCCTTCAGAGCCTCCACAGCATTGCTGTGAGTTACGTCTCTCACGTCTACATCATTTACTCGCAGTATAGAGTCATTAACTCTGTACAGAGAAAAAGAGGGAGAACACTGACTAAAGAGTGAAAAGAAACCGCTATAAATCACAGTGATTAAGTGCCATTTGAAGTACTTACAAGCAGTCAAAACACAAAACTTGTGTATAAACAAAATGATCTATCATTGTTTTACACCCCAGACAAAAGCTGCATATAAGAGAAGCATCAGCGCAAGTTGCGCAACTGCATTCTGGTTTCACATTAACAAAGGATACAGCTCTAAACAGAAAATAACGTAAAAACACAACTATTACAAACTTTTTCAGTAAATAACACAAGCAAGAGGAGGACCAGATTTTAATGTTAACTAATGTTAACAAGTGAAACCATATTGTAAAGTGTTACCATTTAAATTTACATGAGGAGGGGAATCATAATTTAGGTCCATGTGGTTATTCATTTTAATAAAACCCAAAGCCCAGAGTTAGGGAAGACTATAGGTGTGTTTCACTGTTCACACTTCAGTCCGGATCAAAAATAAAGTGGTAACACTTTACAATAAGGTTCATTAGTTAACATTAGTTAATGTATTTACTAACATGCACTAACCATGAGCAATACATTTGTTACGCCATTTGTTCTTCTTTGTTAATGTTAGTTCATGAAAATACAGCTGCTCATTGTTTGTTCATGTTAGTTCACGGTGCATTAACTAATGTTAACAAGATTTTAATCAAGTATTAGTAAATGTTGAAAATAACATTAACAAAGATTAACAAATGCTGTATATGTGCTATTCATTATTAGTTCATATTAACTAATGCAGTTAACTAATGTTAACTAATGAACCTTATTGTAAAGTGTTACCAATACCGTTTTTGTCCTGGTCTGTTTAGAGTTCACGTTGGCATTGTTAACACAAACCTATAGAGATACTGAACCTAAAGTGATAAGGATGCATTCACAACCTGATTGGTCGGCTTTTCTGGCGTATATTTCGAGGCAGAATTTTCCGAGCATCCAAAACAATGCTGTGTGTTGGGATAAATGCGCTCGTTGTGCATGTATGTGTGTACATATGTGCATCTTTTGTATGTGTTGTGTTCATATTTCATTCAAACCACACCAGAGTTGGTTTGGAAGTGGGCCGAGACTCATCATGTCAGCGCCAAAAGATGGGTTCGGGTGGCAGCATTCACAGTTATTCAAATGAAGAGAGCAATCGCACCTGGGTTCATTTTAATCGAACCAAACATGCCAAGGGAGAATACCATATGAAACAACTTAATCTGGATTAAGTCAGATTTACTGTCTAGTAGATTTATTGTTCTGAATTGTGATTTTAACTCAATTGCGAGTTAGAAAAGTCAGAACTGGGAGATATAATCTTGCTATTGCGAGAAAGGAAACAAATCTGAATCAGAATCAAAATGTTATAGGTTTAGATATCATTTCATGCTGTAAATGTAGAACTAATACATTATGGGCCCTAAGGACTGCATATATGAATATTATGCAGATCGATTGCTTACAACAAATTCATGCTTTAATAGCAGAATAATATTTGCATGTTTCAATCCAGTGGGTCCATTTTTTTTGGCTTGCAACCCTTAACGTCTGCGTTTAACCTCAAGTGGCAGCTTCTACGAAAGAATCCTTAAAAAATGAAATCTTTTTTTGCACCTCACTTCTGACATCGAAAAGGCCCAAGACAACATTTCCCCCATTATTCTGTGGATCTTGCCAATTTCCACAAAAGCTTTCCACAAAACTGTTTTCAATGTTGATAATAATAAGAAAGCATCAAATCAGCATATCAGAAGGATTTCTGTAGGATCAAATGATGTTGAAGACTGGAGTAATGACTGCTGAATGTATTACAATTAAACAATTAACAGTTCAATTTTCACCCAAGAGCAGAAGTATAAGTGCAGAACTGTATTTCTATACTGAAAAAAATACATGTTCCCGAGGGAACATGGTCTGGTATGCTAGCATCCTGTGTGCTTAACAGATTGCAAAAGAATTTGATGATACATTTTAGTGGATTTTCAATGTGACAGGTTTAACAGTCAAAAGTAACTACCACTACTGCTACTTCAGCAACACATACTGTAAATGTGCTACTTATGCTACTTGTAACCTGTTCGTACCAACTCAGAAATAAATATGCACTGCTTATGTGTGCGATGTGAAACAGGCCTAAGGAGACATTATTATGAACTTGTCCTTTGAGGGTAATAACATATTCTCTGACCTGAGTCTGCCATCCTGTGCGGCAGCTCCACCTGGGATGATCTTGGTGATAAAGATGCTTGGGTCCTCTCCGATGTGGGGGTTATCGGTACCGCCTGCAATACTGAAACCCAGGCCCGAGTTCCCCTGTAGGGAGGGGGGGAAAAAACATGTCAGAGAAAAAAGGAGAAAAAGAAAAAAAAAAATTTAAGCATAATGACATTATTAAATATAAAGTGAAATCAAAAGACAAATATATGTGCATGCAAACGTTACAGCCAGTTGATCTGTTAATTTGATTCATTATATATATATATATATATATATATTCAATACAGTACAGAATAATGAGGATCTGAACGTTTACATTATACTTAATGCATTAGGGTTCATGAATTAATGAATAGTTTTTTATGTTTGTTAATAAATGTAGTATTATAAATGTTCATTGTTAGTTCATGTTAGTTAACATATACTGTACAACTTTCAATGTTAAAAAAGCCCAAGTAGAAATTAAATTGAATGAATTCTGTATTGTCCTAACAATGTAATTCAAGCTTTTTTTCTGTCAACATCTGAGTGGCTATTTAAAACCCTGAGCATGAAAACACTGTACAATCATTCAGACCCTCCATAACAATGACATGTACCTTTAAATGTTGTATTGTAAGTCCTACTGACATTGTAAGCAAATCCTGCCTTTTATTTTTCATTGTCAGCGCAATCTTACCCGTTCAAGTGTAATTTCTTCATATTCATAATCAGCTTCTGTTCCATTCACCTGAAAGTTAACCAAAACACTTTTGTCAATATATATCAACATGAGCATATGCCCTCCTCTATTAGTGTCATCCAAAAAAATTGTATTACTTCTGCAAGTTTTTAAAAATCAGAAGGTGTTTTGTGATAACTAGATTTAGTTTTTCTTTTAAAAATAGATGCGTCATCAACAACAATTATGTCCACCAGTTCAAGTTATTATAAGACTGATTGCAGCCTTTTCACAAAGACAGTGAAAAGTCTTTTACACACCTTTTGGAGGAATTGTTTTAAATGTATTTTTGTTTGTTGATTTTCTCATCATTTGGCAATAGAATTGCATTTAACCAGAATCAAAAATAGAAATCAGAACCAAATTAGCTTTTCCCTAAACAATTCACACCACTAGTAGTCTATTATTAAAATGCACAAATGTACAAATATAATACTGTCACAGACATATAATTCCCAACATTATACCATAGAAAACAACAGTAATAAGAGATCAGTGGTTCATTCTGATCTCTTTTAGAAAATGTAAAAAAAGCCGTTCTTTCCAGTAACACCCTTGTACCTTATTTCCCCCTCAAGAGTGCATATTAGTACCTTAAAATTTAGTATTACCCTAATGTGTATTTTGGTTCCCAAATGAAAGGGTTACCGACCAGTAACCTTGTTTTCTAAGAGTGTAATTGCTGATGTTTTGTTGTTCACAAGCAGGAATATTCATTTAATAATTTGGCTCGCTGGTTATGTTTTCAACAACCAATAAGTGTTACTCTCCATGCCATATATAGTAAATCCACTCTGCAGAATTCCTCAGACTTTCTGCAAAAATGTGCATAAATTGTGTAAAACAAAATGTCTGCAGATTGCATCTGGGACTGATTATGGGCTAAAATAATCTTATATAATAAAAAGTTGTTGCTAGGAAAGTGTTCTAATTATGTAAGAACAAACTGTTTGGAAAAGTCTCAGTGTTCTCTTTCCACTTCTTCCATTTCACCTCAACTGGTTCTACAGTTATTGGCGCTACAATACTCAGGCAGCATTACATCTCTTGCCAATTACAGGGTATTTCAGCCAGAGAGGCCACAGAAACCAAATCTATGAAGCACACAGACACTAGCTGTCGGCTCAACACGCATTTTAGTCCACTCGTTTTCAATGTTCTGGGTTCAGCACGAGTTAAGCTGTATCAACAAACATTTGGGTCATAATGTTGATTACCAGAGTAAATAATTTAGACTTGTCCCTCAATAAATGTCACAGTAAGACACTTACAGTAAGTAACCGCAACTTAAAACACCTACTGACCATGAATGTGTAAAACTATATCCAATCATTCAACTTCTACAAAGTCATGACCATGTAACACCCAGTAAACCCCAGTAAATTTCACATGGTATTGACAAAGAAGCCAGAGAGAGAGAGAGTGTGTACACAGAGCAAACATCACTCAGGACAAGTTGAACATGAGGTTTCATTTAAATGAGGCTGGAAAGCCATTCTAGGTAGAGAAAACTGTTGGACTAAATGCTTGAGATCAATGAAAACAGGCCAAAAATCGGCATTAACACGCGTGTGTGGTTCTGGGGGCTCTGCTTTAAGCTTCTAAATGACATTTTAAGACCTTAAATACTAAACATTCTTTCTGTAACTGCTGCTGAAAACATCTGTTTGTGACATCAGTGGTGTTGAGGGTGAGGTTAAAGCAGAGTGAGAGATGTACGTCAATACTGACACTGCCCAATACAGCATTATACTCGAATCATGCCACCAGCTCTCAGCATGATACTACAATACCATCCATGCAATTACTTAAATGCTTTTCTTTTTCTATCAGTTTTAAAAGGATATAAAATATCTGAAAAGGCATTTTCGGTTTTGCATAACAACATATATTTAACAGATTGTCACAGTTATGCAGTTGGTTTTCTTTGGGAACCATTTAGAGGTTTACCAGCACTGCTAAACTATGATGCTGATAACGTGCTGCATATATGGCCACAAACAACCAGCCACATGGATAAGAGCCAATACAGGCATTTACACGATCAATATCAGACTATTACTACAGTATATCTACGTAATATAACGAACAATCAAAACAGGAATAGACATACAGAACATGCACAGGGAGTTGTTCAACATCAACATATACTGCTTTGCTCTAAAGAAACCCCTATTCTAAACGCATTTATTTATTAAAAGACCATTTGGATTTTGTATACCACGAGCCAGATAACTATAAATCCACCAGCTGGACTGCTGGCAGACTCAGTATCAAAAATATGTTATCTCTGGGTAATACAATGCAGAAAAATCCTGCACTTTTCAAGAGCTTTCTCTTATTTTCCAGATAACATCAACAAATGTAAAAAAAAAAAAACCCTTCAAATTCCTAATTTTACCTAGTTTTCACCTCATGTATTGTGTTTATTTTTACAGTCAAAGTTTTTTGTTACATCTCTATACATCTAAAAGTAAGGGTAGGCAATTTTTTTATAAATACTTTTTTATACTAGTTGAAATTCTCTTCACATCCTGATAGCAATCAAAAATAGAAGTGGTGACTTCTGTGGAAGTCTCAGGACCAAAAACTGTTTAACTGTTTGTCCAATCATTGCATTCAGGCTGACGATGTCATACTAGCCTGTCAACATACTGTATGTATTTTCATACTTCCATGCACCCTGCTCGCGTGGACATCACACACGTCATCGGCACATTCTGTTCGGCTATGCAGACAAACACCAACCACCTTATATAGTTTCTCCTGAACCAAAACAACGGGCTTATGCTCCATTCACAGCATGTCGTTACAGTGATTATTTTTTTTTTTGTATTATTATTATTATTTTTTTTTTTTGTGTGTGTGTTTGCTTTGGTTTGTTATGTTTTAATTATATTTGTTGTATTTACATTGTATTTTTAGGTTGCCTGTTGTACATCTGGCCCAGGACTGCAGATGAAAACTAGCCTTTTGGCTAACTCACTGCATATTAACATGACAAGTGAAAATATGCCAGTCCTTGTAATAAATAAACAATACAGTACAAGACGGCAACCAGCTGTTCGCATTCTCAGACTCATGACTTGCCTTGGCTTTTGGCTTGCTTTGTTGGGGACATTTAATATTCAACAGTATTACTGATTTGTATTGTATTATTTTCATGTTATCACTGTGAAGCTGCTTTGATACAATCTGTATTGTAAAAAGCGCTATATAAATAAAGGTGACTTGACTCATATTTATACGTTTCTACGTCAACACTATCAACGCTGAAACGAACCTGCAGCAGTCAGGTGGTACAAGTCAGAGCTCTGTATGTATGTGTTCATTATTATTGTAATGTTATGTGCTTTGAAACATGAGGTAATTTAACGCTGTTTCTCATCTTGTGGCGCATAGCAGCCTCTGCTGTGTACGTTCATGTGTTTTAGAGTTTAGCCGTGGCTTTAAAGGGAGGGTGGGATCTCATGCTTTCAAAGCTAGCTTGCTATTGCTAGCCTCTCCGAAATTGCCTAGTATGCCTACCAAACCTTTAATATTGGGTGCATCTGTCTTTTGGGTGTCATTCACTAATTCACTAAAGTGCAGATCTACCTTCTTTGACATTTACAACTACTGAAACTCAATCCACACATAAAAACATTTACAGACAACCAACAGCCTTAGAAACATGCTATGTTAAGCCACATGGCAACAGAGTGAAGCTCCAGCACTAATAATGTGAAGTATTTAAGGAGATCAGTCAAGAGTTCATCATAGTCATTCCTTTTTAGACTTTAGCTCTATCTCATTCAGATAACTCTAGTGTTCAGAGTGAGTCTTTAAATGAAGTATGACAGAATTTAGCTCAGCAGGCTTTCTGGCTCTGGATGTATATTATGAGATGCTCATGAGACTAAGAGAAGAAGATGATTTCATTTCTTTTGTTTTTAAGTCATGATACCAGTCAACATTTTCTAACCGATTTGTAGACTAGAGTTTCGTATTAAACAGAAAGTGAAAAAAACAACAACAACAAAAAAAAAACAGTAAAAAGTCCTTTCACACTGGACGCGATTTTGATTTTGACGCACAAATAATTTGTGCAATGGTTTTATTTTTTGATCAGCTGTTTGTATAATGAGCGCGAATGTGCTGCGGCGAAAAAAACGACTTATTTATTTCGCTTCAATGTCGATTTTTTTTTACATTTTGAGGCGAAAGAAAAGGCTTCAGCCAATCATATACAAGGAAACAAAGGTGACGTGACCGCAACAATGACGGATCTTCTGATTGCTTGTGTCGAGTCGTCTGTCAATGAAAATCTGAAACAAGGACTGGTGGGACGTTGTGCTCATTCGTTCGTATCGAGCCCAACCAGGTGTTTACAAGGCTTTTCAGTCCATTTGACAGTGTTGTAGTACTCGAGACTCGGACTCGTCTCGGACTCGGTCTCGAGACCATATTTTAATGGTCTTGGTCTTGTCATGGACTCGTGTCAATTTGGACTCGGAATTGACTCGTACTCGAACATTTTTTATTTTAGGACTCGGAATTATTCCCGAGTCCACTCGAGTTCAATTAAAAATATTTTTCATGATTATTAATGTATGTTAATAAAATATTTCTTTAAATTGATTGACACGCCCAGTGATTGGTGATTTTCTAGTCCGCAACTGCGCATGACAAATTGTAATAAAATTACTTTTAACACCACCTACTATGTGGCCTTTTTACCCTAAACTGATCATATTTTTTAAATTCTAAGTAAATAAAAAGGATTTCTCTAAGTAAATAAAAGTAAATTAGGTAATCAACCCTCATTGGTCTCGGTCTCGACTCGGACTCGACCGTCTCTGGTCTCGGACTCGACTCGGACTCGACTCTCTATGGACTCGGTCTCGACTACAACACTGCCATTTGAGCCTTCAATTAGGCTCAAATTTTTGTCTGCATCCTTTTATTTAATCGCCCTTTAAATTACAATTCTACAATAACATTGAAAACATAGAAATATAGAAAACATTGAAAATGCGCAGCACGGACGTTACTGGAGCCATCCCAAACTCTTCGTGGAGAGGGTGTTTGCTTTGATGAACGCTGCGTGGACAAGGAACCACGCAACTGTGGACCTCTTTTAAAAAATGAACTGGTGAAAGTGAGCTACACCTGCCAGTAGTTACTGACATAAGTCCATAATTAATGAGAAGGCCCTATCGAAGCTGCCAGATCAGACAAACAATACAAATTCAAGATGTACTGACCGAATCCGGTAAGAACGCATTCATCTTTAATCTTTCCTAATGGACTTATATATTTGCTTATTTGGAAATGTGCTATTTGTTGATGATAATGAAGAAATTATCAGGGACAAATTAAATTGATTTAAAGTGACAGTAAATACATTTTAATTCAAGTAAATGAATGCTGTTTTTATTTATAAGAAGATTAAAAAAAAGAAATCAGGGTTTCTACAAAAATAATAAGCAGGACTATCATTTTCAACGTTGATAATAATAAGAAATACTGAGCGCAAAATCAGCATATTAGAATGATTTCTGAAGAATCATGTTACACTAAAGACTGAAGTAATAGCTGATAAAAATTCAGCTCTGCCATCATAGGAACAAATTACTTTTTAATAGAAAACTGTTTTTTTATTATTGTAATATTACTTGCAGAGATCACTTTCAAAAACAAAAGTTTATTAAATAAATTATATACAAATGTAATATTTATCTTTTTTGTAGTGACAGTTAGAAGCAGCGTAAAATGACTTTCTTTAAAGTCAGTTAATATTCTACAAACTTAACATAATGCAATAATCTAACTCTCCACAATGTGCAGTGCATGAAGAGATACATCAAATACATATGGACTTACATAGGGTGAGGTGTCAAGGCTTTCTGTGTTCACCACCACCGGTGCTGGGCTTGCCTGCAAAAGAAACATACATTAATACTTGGGCTGATACGAAACAAGACCCATAACTGTGCACATTGCTTATTGTCCCTAACCTACTGAGAATGAAATTTTTAACTATTAAAAAGATAAGAAAAAGACCCAATAAAAAAGCATTACTTACCCTTGGCATGCTGATACAATATTAATCTGGCATTTGCAAGAGATTAACAGCACAGCCTGTATCCATACACAGCATAACATACTGCAGAATATGCAATACAGTGGCATAACAAACCAGCGCCGACCTAATCCTTCAGCAAACATGTATCACACGCTTCACTTGCACAATTGCTTTTGAGATACAAGTGCGCATCAACAATATAACATAGCATTCTCTCTGTAATCTCTCTAAGTAAAGAGGACCATCGTTGAGTGGGTGGAGTGAAAACATGAGGAAAAAAAAGACCTGTGACGTGGGTGCTGGAATGGCAGTGGTCTCGGCTGGGACGGGTGGGATAGGGATCACAGGGATTATGGGAGAAGAGGGAGGAATGACATCTGCCTGCTAAACAATGACAGTTGAGGTCAAAGGTCAGACCAGATGACACACAGCAGTACTGATTTTCACGAATTCTCTTTGAAAAAAAAACAAACTAATTAAAACCGATATTGAACAGAATTCTGAAAAGAGAGGGAAAAGATGAGGTAATGGAAACAATACAGTAAAAAAAATGATCATATGACTGTTTTAGCCTGTAAAATTAGACTGTAATTTCATTTTATTAGCTAAAGTTTCTGCAAGCATTCAATTTACATTTTTCACAGCATAAAAGTTGAAAAAAAATAGATTAATAAAATAGATAATTAAAAGAAAACTAAACTCAATTTTTTTAACTAAATAAAAAAAATATTTAAAACTATACTTAAAATACTCCAATATTAAAATACCAATATTTACTCCAATGTTACTTCAATTCTACTGTTTTTTTTTTCAGTGGAACACAAAAGGACAATTTTGAAGGATAATGGATATGATTACTTTCACTCTAAAAAATAAAATAAAACAACAGATCTGGCCACTATGAAACCACTTGAAGAACAATCATATTCTCCTTTTGTTTTCCACAGGCAAAAATAAATAAATCAATAACAGCAAACAGTTTTGAAAACACTCAATTCAATTATATTTATTGTACTCGGTAGTATTAGCAAAGGAGCTTTAAAAGTGTAAATTGTGATAGAATCCCCATCAATATAAAGTATGTTTGATGCTATTTTGTGACTCGCTTGAAGGACAACCCTTTCTTTAGACATAACCATTAAGGTAACTGTGAAGAAAAATGCACAACGTGTTTCAAAACTCAACAGGGCTAAAAATAAATCTCCAGTCCAGCAATCAGCATCCTGTTGTGCAGGGCCAAGGAATAGCTTTTCCATTTAAACATGACAATAGCCACTGTCATTTTTATTTCTGCAGGCTGAAAATGTGTGCCAGCTAGAGAAACTTCAGACTAAATCACACCTGAAGTAAACAGTAAACATTTATTTACATCCATTCATTTCTGAAGTGCACTGTGACCAATTTCTATTAAAACCAACAAATCCTTTAAAGGGATAGTTCACCCAAAAATCTATATACTCACCCTCAGCCCATCCAATATGTATGTCTTTTTATTCAGTAGAAATGTACAGAAGATTTTTAACTGAAAACTTGTTCCTTGATGATTCATATAATGCAAGTCAATGGCTACCATTACATGTTAAAAAAACATACAAAGTGAAAACAAAATGAACACCCGTTGTTCCTGAAGATACATTAAAGGGTAACTAAACCCCTGGTCAGAGCCTGACTCCACCCACTGGCAATATTTGAAAATGTTGAAAAAGTGGGCTGACCCCAGCAGAGATAGAGGGGATGAAATAGATGCTAAAACACTCTATCTTGGTCATTTTCAATACTCATAATTCCAATTCCTGACTCCCTACAGTGGTTTTGACGACACAAGATGGTTTTTATATTGCCAAGGGCGTAGCTCGCGTGGTGAGCTGAAACCTGCGTACGTCACGAAGTGCGGAACATCCAATAGGAAAATTCAACTGCAGTAGCCACCGTTCAACCTGAAGAGGGCAGCACTAAGACGCTTTTACACCATATATTGCAGAAATAGAACACTTTATAAACAAATGTCAAAAAAGTTACTCGAATCAATGACTGGTATTAATAAAGATCCATTCTTACAAATCATTAACTAAAAAAAGTTGGTTAAGTGTTTAGTTACTCTTTAAGGTCTAATGACCGAAACTGAAAATTATTTACAACATTATTAGCTGTAATCCACAACCTCTGCAAAAGGTCCTGAATGCCTTCATGGTAGTCTGGAGCGCGAGTTCTCTTACGAGAGGTTCTCTTGTATTGCGTAAGCTAGCTTACGCTACGGGGAAAGAATAATCTTTTATCCTTAATTTTGTATCCATTGTCAACGCAGTGCAGAAGCTGCAGACCTAGAGCGGGCAATCTAGCGAGCTCATAGGTTGCTCTGCGGCAACTGCAGCAGCCTATCAGTGAACCTGGCGCCCCCGTGCCCTCATCGCGTCACAGCCCACCAGAATGGGCGTGGCTTTAGTCTATATAAGTGAGGTTCATGCAGAGCCCCGCTCAGTGCAGGAGACCGCCATTTGAACTGCGCTCTCTGCCTGGGCCAAAAACACACAGCCCTCGCTCTCGCTGACGGCGGATGCGACCTCTACGAAGCGCTTCCAATATCGACCCTGCAGGCTCGACTTGAAGCGTTCAACACGAAGCCACCGCGCCGCCTTTCGTCGCACCGCACAGGAAGAAGCGCCGTTCACAAAAGAACCCACGAGTGAACTTCGCCTTTGCCATCCCCGGCCCCCCTGGAGGCGCACTTGCCACCGAGTGGCTGCATCGCCGTCACATCTGATGAAGAGGCGGAGGATAACGTCACTCGTGACTGCAGTTCTCTTCTGGTTCGGACAACGAGGAGTGGTCAGGCTCTCACTCTGCATCAAATCCTACGGGGTCGACGCCCAACAGGCTCGACTGTTGCTTCCTTCAAAGCCTGCCAGTACTCCACACGGAACTTTCTAAATCGTGGAGCGCACCTCTTTTGGCCAGGATCCAGACCCATGTCTCCACTTCGCTCTGTGGATGGTGCCACCGAGAAGGGCTTTTCGTTGAAAAGGCCTGCAATGCCCATTGGGTGTCAGGGCTCACTCCACTAGAGGCATGGTCTCATCGTGGACGTGGTCAAGTGGGATTTCAAGTGGGCTTCGCCATCCACCTTTGTCAGATCTTACAATCTAGACGTTCCCGCTCTGCCGGCAAAATTTCTGGCGGTATAGTGTAAATAAGACAAACAGCTCTCCTGGTGAGCTGCACTAATGGTTTGCTAATTGCTAGCTTTCGCAATACGAGAGAACCTCTCGTAAGAGAACCTAACGTAACCTCGGTTCTCTCTAGAAGAGGGAACGAGTATTGTGTAACCGGCCATGTTCGTGCCACGATTTTCATCGATTAAGTCGATGAAAACCAGGGAAGCAGCCTCGGAACCTCGCTTATATACACTAAAGCCACGCCCATTCTAGCGGGCTGTGACGCCATGAGGGCGGGTGCGCCTCTCATTGGTAGGGGTGTAATGATATTCGAACCGAACCGAAAAACCGCGATACAGATTCGAATCGCGATACTCTAATTTAAAAAAAAAAAGAATTATTGTGAACATCCATCCAGCTTTACAATCATAGAGAAGAGTTCGATTTTTTTTTTCCCACAGTTTTGATTCCAGAAGTACAGAGCCAAGCATATTAAAAGATATTGTAGCCATGTCTCAAAACTTCCCTGGTATTTCCATGGTTAAAGTGATTTTGATTGACAGATCTCATTTCAGAATTGAGGCTATATTTATGAATTCAGAAATGAAAAAGAAATACAATGTAGCCTACATGAAGTGGACCGTGCACTGTTGTGAGAGAGGATCTGACGCAAGCAGATATCTATGGGAGTTCAGCAGATTCCAGCTCTACATGAGCAAAAGTGTGTGTTGCCATGCTGTCAGTGAGGAGACATCCGCTGAAACTGGCCCCTCCACACAGCCCGTCTGTGTCAGCGTTCCCAAACAAAAGCGATCTGATCCACAGCCGCTTGTCCAAGCACCAACAACACAGCCAGAGGAGACGGATATTCAGTTACAACAGTCCAGTTCACCCAGTCAAAAACAAACACATCACTGCAACTACTAATTAGAAAGGGTTTCCGTTTCACTAACCCTCACACTCAGGGTTATGGCAGAGACTTGAGACTAAGGCATGTACTATGCTACTATATTTGAGTGACAACAGCACACAAGACATCACAAATTCAGTCACAACGTTTTACATGAGCGCATGCTGTCCTGCCTAAATTGACCAGAGTAACTTATATAAGAATCTATTTACACTGCATGCTATTATGGCGGTTGTACAGTAGTCATGGCCTGTGATTTCAGAGTTAAAATTAGAATCAATCATTAGCATTGATCAGAGAGACTGGTTTAGAGTTCAGTCTAAAGCTCCCACCAATGGCTCAAATGAATAATAAATCCAAAACATACCCCACTTTAATACCTGCATAATACAAAAAAATCTAATATTTTTATTTTTTTATAAATCATTTACTTATAAAAGATATTCATATTATGATGATTTTATCCCAAAAATCTTTTTCAAAAAGCATTATAGTGTAAAAAGTGTATAAAATATTTAAAATATGGTCACTGCTTACAAAATGTGTCAATATGATGGCCAAAACATCTTGTCTTTTGACACAGATTAGGATCCAACAATAAAAAAATAAAAATAAAATAAAAATATACACACTACAGTTCAAAAGTTTGTTAAGGGTCGGTTTTAATGGGTTTTTTAAGTCTCCATGTTCACCAAGGCAAAACAGTTAAAAAATGTTATTAAAAATACAACAAAAACTGTAAAATTGTGAAATAGCATTACAGTTTAAAATGCTGAATTATAAGCATCATTACTCCAATCCTCAGTGTCACGTGATCCATCAGAAATCATTCTAATGCTGATTTGCTGCTCAAGAAACATTTCTATTCTATTATTATCAGTGTTGAAATATAGTCTCTTTTCATCATATTACTGACCCGGAAATTTTGAATGGTAGTATCTGAACCTTTTTTTTCTTCTCTCAAGTCTGTCAATTAATTTCAATACATGACATGAACTTGGATCTTTACATTATATCACTTATATCATCCAAAACCATGTTTGCAAGGCCCTGGCAACCACTGAAAATACATCTTGAGAAACCATATAATCATCAACACAATTTAATAGTAATTTCAGATTAACAATGAAGCATTCTCAGAAATTCAAATCCACATCATAGCTCGACCTTGTCCCACTACTCTACAGTACCACCTCTCATCTCTCAATAAGACTCTCACATACCTTATCCAATGAAAACGTGCCCCAAGAGTTGGCAAGCCACAAGGCACTGGACGAAGCTCTGACTTTAGCTGTGCTTTTGGTGGGGCTCTTTTTCACACT